AGGCAACTCAGGGCAGGACTTAGACACTTAATGGTAAGGTCCTGGGAGTGTTGCTAAACAAAGACCTTGGAGTGCAGTTTCGTAGTTCCTTGAAAGTGAAGTCGCAAGTAGACAAGATAGTGAAGAAGGCATTTGGTATGCTTGCCTTTATTGTTCAGTACATTGAGTACGGGAGTTAGCATGTCATGCTGCAGCTGTACAGGACCACTTTTGCAATACTGCATTCAATTCTGGTCTTCCTGCTAAATGAAGGATGTTGTGAAAACTGAAAGGGTTCAGAAAAGCTTTACAAAGATGTTGCCAGGGTTGGAGGGTTTGAGCTGGAGGGAAAGTCTGAATATGCCTGGGTTATTTTCCATGGAGCTTCGGAGGCTGAGGGGTGACCATATAGAAGTTTATGAAACCATGAGGGGCATGGATAGGGTGAATAGCCAAGGTCTTTTCACCAGGGTCAGGGAGTCAAAAACTAGAGGACATAGATTTAAAGTGAGATGGGAAAGATTTAAAAGGGACCTAAGGGGCAATTTTTTCATGCAGAGAATGGTGCATGTATGGAATGAGCTGCCAGAGGAAGTGATGGAGGCTGGTACAATTGCATTTGAAAGGCATCTGGATGGGTATATGAACAGGAAGAGTTGAGAGGGATATGGGCCAAATACTGGCAAATGGGACTAGATTAATTTAGGATATCTGGTTGGCATGGAAGAGTTGGACCGAAGGGTCTGTCTCTGTGCTGTACAGCTCTGACTCTATGAAAACCGAAAGAACTGCGGATGCTGTAAGTCAGAAACAAAAACAGAAGTTGCTGGAAAAGCTCAGCAGGTCTGACAGCATCTGTGAAGAAAAACATTAGTTAAATTTTTGGGTCCGGTGACCCTTCCTTAGAACTGATGGTAGCTGAGAAAACGTCGGTTTATATGCAGAAAATAAGGAGGGGGATGGGGTAGGGAGTAAATGATAGGATAAAGGATAGAGCCTGAAGAGAGAGAAAAGCAGTTGGATAGACAAAGGAGTTGATAATGATCTGGCTAGGAGGGTCAATAGCTGTTCATGGGGACTGTCAATGACTAACAATAGGTAGTGTGTAATGGCAGGCTGTAGGGCGATGTCTAGATTGCCAACAAGGACAAAAATTAGCACTAGCAGCTCCCCCATGGGAATGGCCAGGTAAATCTTGGACTCAGTCAACTGTCCATGAGTTCAATGTTCTTTGTCATTGTAGTCGCCCATGCAAAGTGGTTGGACATGTATACGGTCCATTTGTCAAACACAAGAACTTAGAATAGAAAAATTGCATGCATTTTTTTTCAACACATGGAGTCCTGGAGGTGTTATCACAGATAACGGGCTGTGGTTTAACAGCAGGGAATTTGGGTATTTTCTAAAGTCAAATGAGATTCAAAATATAAGGACCATTCCATACCACCCATCATTGAATGGCCTGGTAGAAAGACCAGTCCAAACTTTTTAGACTGGCTTAAAGAAACAGCCTACAGCCTCAAAAGATACCAAGCTGTCACGGTTTTTGTTTGATTATAAAACCTCCCCAAACACAAGTACAGGGTTAACACAGAGTTGCTAATGGGTAGAAAACTCTGCACCAGGTTAAATCTGATCTTCCCAGACCTGGGGAGGGGAGGATGAAATGGCATCAGGAGTGTCAATGCCAGACACAAGACTCTGCCAAGCAAGAGGGACAGTTTGATACAGGACACGAAATTTGTTTTAAAATCATAGAAAAGGCCATGCATGGGTAAAAGGTATTGTCAACACAAGGTCAGGACTAATGACATACAGAGTTAAGTTGGTGCGATGGTCTGAACAACCACATGAAAGCTGCAAATTTGCAAACTGTGTGGGACCAAAATGTGCCCTGCCCCTCAGAGCAATCGGAAAGGCTGCCAGAACTGTGGGTTCAGCCTCTCTACTGAGCATTGATGAGTCCTCAGAATCTGAGATGGACATGACGGTTGTAGCCACCTTGACACCACTGCCACCTGAAGAGGAGCGTGAAATTCTACCAGGGTGCTCATCACACAAGATGTGAGCTCCCATGCATTACACGCCATCTGTATCAGATACCAAGTCAAAGGTACCTGACCCATTGCTAAAACGTCCCAGGAGGCTCTCCAAAAATAAGGACCAACCTCAGTCCTCGGACTCAGCTAGGAAGGGAGGTAATGATTGTAAGGAGACCAGGCAGCTGGACCTCGTAGAATGAGTTCCCTGATTGGGACTGTTAATCTGGTTCAAACAGGGAGTCCTGGCTGACAGATTAAAAAAGAGGTGTATCAGAGATTCTGGCACTCTGGCAGTTGACTCTGAAGAGGCAGTACCAGAGTCAAAGACTGTTCATGTGTAAATAAAGGGTGACTTGTTGTCAAAATACTGGCCTACATGAGTTATTTCAGGAGACTTTGGATAATAAATTTTAGAAAGTATATGTCAGGTAAGGTTTACACAACAGGCTTAGGAGATAGTAGGAACTGCCGATGCTGGAGTCTGAAATAACAAGGTGTGGAGCTGGATGAACACAGCAGGCCAGGCAGCATCAGAGGAGCAGGAAGGCTGACTTTTCAGGTCTGGACCCTTCTTCAGAAATGGAGGAGGGGAAGGGAGCTCTGAAATAAATAGGGAGGGGGGAGGTGGTGATAGAAGGTGGATAGTGGAGCAGATAGGTGGAGAGAAGATGGACAGATCAAGGAGGTGGGGATGAAGCTAGTAAAGGTGAGTGTAGGTAGGGAGTTGGGATGGGGATTGGTCAGTGAGGAGGGAGGGGCGGGTAGGTGGGAGGGAAGACGGACAGGTCAAGGAGGCGGGGATAAAGCTAGTAGGTGAGTGTAGGTAGGAAGTGGGGGTTGGTCAGTCAGGTGGGAGGAGAAGATAGGTGGGAAAGAAGACGGACAGGTCAAGGAGGCACCGACGAGAAGGGGGCTGGTCTTGGGATGAGGTCGGGGGTGGGGAGATTTTGAAGCTCGTAAAGTCCACACTGAGACCATTGGGTTGTAGGGTTTCAAGACGGAATATGAGGTGCTGCTCCTACAGTTTCCAGGTGGCATCGTTGTGACACTGGAGGAGGCCCAAGATGGACATGTCGTCCAGGGAGTGGGAAGGGGAGTTGAAGTGGTTCACGGCTGTGAGGTGTTGTCGTTTGTCGCGAACCGAGCGTAGGTGCTCCACAAAGTGGTGGGTAACTTTACGGCTTAAGCTTGTTGCGTAATCTACTGAAGGCTAGGTCACTGTTCATTCTTTCAGGTCTCTGGTCTCAATCTCAAACCCCCCTTGCAAACTTTGACATGTGATTTGTATTCTGAAGTCTTCAAGATTTGACTTGAAACACACTCTTACAGAAACTCTGCCTTTAACCCATAGTTGCAATCACTCCACATCAGAGACAGGCTATGGTCAACATAACACCGGATTCTTGATTTTGTTAGGTAAATGTCATTAATTCTTAATTCCATCTTTCAGTTGCTAACACCGGTTCCAAAGAACAGTAATTTATCATTCTCGAACAGCAATGGCTTCTTTAGTTAACCAGTTTTAATCTGATTTTAAACAGTTCTTCATTCATCAAACCAGACTCATCAAGGTTGTGTTGGATTGTATCTTAGCGGGGTTCCAGAAAGATTCTTTTCTCTAAATAGTATTTTGCTGAAAATGCATTAAATTCAACTTATGTACTTATTTATATTAATACTTTCAATGCAAGTCCAGGCTTTCTAGTATGTTTATTAATTCAATTGATTCTGTAACTACAGCTAACGAAAGTTCATACTCTTACAATGGTCTGTTTCATGACTGGCTGTTATTCATACAGTAATTTGATCAATACATTTAATTCATACATTATACAAAATGCAGCATATTAAGTAGTTGAAGAAGCTACATATTAGTGTTAAAGTGTTTCTTTGAGCTTGCCAGTTACTACAGTGAATGCCTTATAAAAATGGTCATGTTAACTAAAGTCTAATTGACCAGGCTCCTAAAATATCCAATTTAAAAGTCTTTTTCTTATGCTCAGTCTCTTCATGGCCTTGCCTCTCACTTTTTAACTCACTACAGCCCTACAAATCTCTCTTGCAGAATTCACAATTTCTCTGACCCTATTCTCTTGAGCAGTTCCCCTCCCTTTTCCCAATATGAGCAGCCATCTAGTTCCCAGACTTTGCAATTCTCTCCTCAAACCACTCTGCTTTTCTCCTTTTCATTCCTTTAAGACATCATTTAAAAACCACCCACTTGACAATTGTTAATGATCCCCCAAATATGTCCTTCCTTGGTGGGACCAATTTATGTTTGAGCACTAAATTGGCTTGGGTTTTGGTTTAATACTTTTAACCTGCCCGCTATAACTGTTGTTATAGTAGATCATTCCTCTTTGATCCTTGTCAGAGATCATATAAGAATATTTCTGTGTAGACCACAGAATAAATCTGATGAGAAAAACCGAATAAATTGCAGATGCTGTAAATCAAAAACAAAAATAGAAATTGCTGAAAAAGCTCAGTAGGTCTGGCAGCATCTGTGGTGAGAAATCAGAGTTAATATTTTGGGTCCAGTGGCCCTTCCTAAGAACTGATGGTAGCTTGGAAAATGTCCCAGTTTAATACTTTTAACCTGCCTGCTATGACTGTAAGTTGTTTTTATAGTAGATCATTCCCCTTTGATCCATGTCACTTCAGATGATGTTGTAGATGGTGGTGTGCAGACAATGTAAGAAAATAGTCTGTGACCTTTCTTAATCAATGAAGCAGACTGTTTACTCAAGTGATTTTGTAAAATAAAAGAACACTGGATTAATTAGAGATACAATGTTTCTTTTTTATTAAAACTTCAGTGGTTATTGTCCCGGACATTTTCCGAGCTACCATCAGTTCTGAGGAAGGGTCACCGGACCCGAAACGTTAACTCTGGTTTCTCTCCACAGATGCTGCCAGACCTGCTGAGCTTTCCAGCAATTTCTGTTTTTTGTTATAAATTTGCTGAATTTGTTCTGGCAGCACATAGCTTTCTCTCTCCAATGCTTATTGTGAGATTTTGAAGACAGAGATTATCAAACTATGCAGGATTTCATGGATAGAAAATCCCTAAGAATCTGTTGCCTGCTGTGGTCTGATTCCCAGAATAAGCTGTTGACAGACTAAGTTTCCTGTCTGGAGCTTGAATCCCCAGAATTACCCTTACAGTCCCTAATTCTGACTGATCCTGAATTCATATATATGGAACATTCTATAAAGTACAAAGACATCATTGGCATCATTTCATCACCTGAATTTCAAAATCTTTTCGTTTTATGCAGGTGTACCCTCCTCTCTTTCTTTCTTGGTTAGAAATTCATTAACATCATATAACATCAAACCATAAATTGGCTTTTCTTCCGAATGCAACTCAAGCCGTTGAATCCTGTCACTGTTGTAAATCGTGGGATCTTTCATGTCTATATTCCTGAACATGTCATTATCTTTGGAGGCTTGCAAGAATCCTAGAACAGAAATAAAATCCCACATATGAACACTGGTGACTATTGAGATTGATTTCAAGTTCTTTTCTTTCCAAACTTGCATGTGATTCCAGACCCACAGCAATGTCATTGACTCCTGACTGCCCTCTGAATTGGCCAATCAAGCTACTCAGTTTGGGCAATTAGAATAGGCAACAGATGCTGGCCTTGGCCGTAATGCCCCCACATCCAATAAACAAAACATTAAATATGTTCTGGAGTATCTGCACTTGACACAGTACTTTAAACATACTATTGAACAGAGAAAGACCAGTGTCAGAAATTGGGATTCTCTTCAAAACTGAGTTCTTTTAGAATTCTATGATTAGTATTATCTGTGCAGCATGAGACCTCATTTAATCTGTGATACTGAAGTAACTAACCTTTGACAAACATAGACAGAAGATTTTATTGTATGCTAATATTACCCTATTACAATCGCAGTGGGGGTCAATTAGCTTGAATGGCTGGTTTGCACGTGTTCGAACTTTGCCCCAACTGAGGTTAACATGAAGGACACTCCTTCTCAACCTTGACTGTGGTGTGGTGATCCTTAGGTTAAACCACAACCAGTTATGTCTCTCCCATGAGGGAGCAGGTCTGTGGCAACATTATTTTTTATTATAAATGCAGTGTTTGGGAAAATAAGAAGGTTTTGTTCTTAAAAATAATGAAAACTAACTTTCAAGTGGAGGTTGGCAGGTGGACAACAGTCATCCTGGCATCGTAAGTGCTTGCCATGGTCATGAGAGTTTAAACAAGTGATTGACACAGCATAGATTGCCAGCCACCACCATCACCAACACCACCCACCCCACTCCACCACCCTCCCATTGCCACCGCCACAAAGAAGGTACATCAACAACAATAGGCAGGGGAAAAAAAGCGAGAGAGAGAGAGGATGAGAAGATCCAAGTGGTAGAGCCACCAACTTCTAGGGAGAAGACCAGGAGTTGCTCTACATCACCTCCAGGGCAGAATAAAGACCGTACCTACCAAAGACTACCATCAAATTACTCGAAATTATTGACTGCCGATATTAACTAGCTGTGATCATGAACCTCCCCCAGATTTTTACAACAAGGCCAATTAGTTATAAAGATAGAAAGTACCAGACAGAACTCTGTCAAGATCTGGCAGCAGCTCTAGAGACAAAAACAAAGTTAACTTTTTGGGACTGACATGATTTTACTTTGGAAGCAAACGGAAGTTGACAACTGATGTGTTTTATGCTTACAAGAAAGTGGGACCATCAATTGTAACAAAGGAAGGTCTGGTTTATGTTCAAGGATGGAAGAAATTAAATTAAAAAGATGCCATGGTACAAAGGGAGTACAAATACGCCAGTATTTTGTTATTCAGTCACAGGATATGGGCATCACTGACTGACTAACATTTATTGCTTGTCCCTAGTTACCTGTGAGAAAGTGGTGGTGAGCTGCCTCCTTGAATCACTGTAGTACACTTTGTAAGTACAACCATAATGCTGTTAGGGAGGGAATTCCATGATTTTGACCTAGCAACAGTGAAGGAAAAGTGATATTATTCCAGGTAGGACGCTGAGTGGTTTGGAGGGGAATTTGCAGTTGGTGGTGTTCCCATGTATCTACTGCACTTATTCTGTTAGGTGAGTGTGGATGTGGGCTTGAAAGGTGCTGTCAAAGGATCTTCGGTGAATTTCTGCAGTGAATCTTGTAGATAATATACACTGTTGCTCTGAGTGTCAGTGGTGGAGGGAGTGGGAGCTTGTGGATGGGTGCCAATAAAGAAAGCTGCTTTGTCCTGGATGGTATCAAGCTTCTTTAGTGTTGATGGAGCTGCACCCATCCGGGAAGTGGGGAGTATTCTATCACACTCCTGACTTGTGTCTTGTAGATGGTGGACAAGATCTGGGGAGTCTGGAATTGAGTCCAATGCAAACATAATAATTTACTTTGCTTTCTGTAAATTTGAATTAAAAGTTCAGCTTTTACTTTTCTAGTTTACTGAGGTTAAATACTTCAGAGTGAGTGAGTGGTTACTTTCTGGCATCACTCCTGTGGAATGCTAAGACATCTGTGTAAATTGGAGATTGTAAACTATTGTCAGGAAAGAGCTAAACCACACGGCTTATTGTCAGGAAAGGGCTAAAACACACAGCTTCAGAACCAGACACAGAATGTTAACTCTGTTTCTCACTGTTCCCTTGATTGCTTCTCAAACTAGTGAATAAAAGAGATCTTGATACTTACCAGATAGTGCAGGAGAATAGGGTTTCGTACCATTGCAAAAGACATTGATGCTTTTTATGACAGGATGGTCACAGAGCTCCTTCACTTCAGCTTTGGGTGTTTTGCACATCCTAAGCAGTACTTGTATGGTTACTTGACCACAGTGCATTGTTACTTTCTGTTTAGGCACTGACCCTGTGAAAGAGGGCAGCAGCAGCCCAATTGCCAGGATGGACACCAGACACTCCATTGCAGCTCACAACTGATCAGCTTCAGCCACTCTCTCTATCCAGGATCCTGCAATCAATTATTCCCTTCACTCTCTAATGATTCTACAGTACAAAGAGGACCTGTATTTATCAACTGATCTAAATTTTACTTTTAGTCTTGCACTTCAACCTGACTGGATTTCTCTACTGATGCTGAATATGTTAGTGCTTCTTCTCTGTCCTTGACTTTGACTTTAATGTTGATCTATTCCCTCTTCCTTTATAGCTGTATTGGTTCCTTATTATGACTCATCATAGTTTTTCATTAACTTTCTAATTTTTCAAATGTTTTTCAAATTTTTCTGAATAGCTTAATGTGTCTTATTTACATTTGCTCATTTTCTAATGTCGTTTGAAATTTTTCCAACAACTTGACCTTAATGTCCTAACTGAACATAACTGTAAAACTTTCTCAGATTAATGTTTAGTCCAACCCGTTGATAATAGCAACTGTTGGAAACAATGGCATGGTGGCAATGTCACTAGACCAGTAATCCAGCAGCCCCCCAAGCTAATGATTGGGGAACATGGGTTCAAATCCCATCAGGACAAATGGTGAAATTTGATGAATATAACAGAACTAGCCTACTGGTGACAATGTAACCATTGTTGTCATAAAATTACACGTCACCCCTTAGGGAAGGAATTCTGCCTTCTTTACCCAGTTTGGCCTAAATGTGACTCCAGATCTACAGAAATGTGATTGGCTCTTAACTGCCCCTCTGGGCAACTGGAGATGAGCAATAAATGTCAGTGATGCCGTTTTCTAAACAGGACCACAAGGCGAACCTTGATCAGTGACACTGATGATTGACGGAGAGGAAGCAATGTTTGGCCAGGGTGCCACATGGCTTGGCAGGTATTATAATTATAATGAGTGGGTTGAACTATTGATGGATAATGGGATGGGTGGGTGGTGCCACTGATCATTTGGAGGTATATTAATGATTGATGAGAGAGTATAGTACAATTTATGGAGATATCAGCAAACAGTCTTGGGTTTTGTTGCTCCTTAGCAATATTGTTTCTGGATGGTGCCCCTTTTCTTTATTTTGGTTGCAGATCAATTTATTGCCAAGGGGAAGGATCAAGCTCTGTGAAAATTTCACGCGTAATATTCCCTTGTTCCAGGGCACAGTTAATTACATTGTCATGTGATATGTAACAATTTAGAGTTTTCAGAAAATAAGATGTCTAAGTCTCACCATCAGAACACTGTGCTATCAAGAACCCCATTTGCAAATGGTACAGCAGTAATAAATAGTTAGGAGTCACCCTATTAACATTTTAACATAGCTCAAGTGACTTGATAGCTGGTATGCAACGCAGAGTTATGTCAACAGCGTGGGTTCAATTCCCACACTGGCTGAGACCACCCTGAAGGACTCGCCTTCTCAATCTCTCCCCTCATCGGTATGTGGTGACCCTCAGGTTAAACCATCACCAATCTTCTCTGTCTCTCTATATATAATGAGAAAGCAGCTTAATAATGATTTTATTCTTTCTTAATAGATGTTATAAGAGCATTAACAGTACATCATACAGGTGAATACAGGTTGGTCTGTATTAGCACAGTGTAGTTAACCTCTGGCATTTAATGGAATAAAAAGCAGAAGACAGTTGCCCACTGCTGGAGGATGAGATACTTCATGACCTCTTTCTATTCAAGAATCAAGCTGTACAGATTGAGGGCTGAGGGTGAAAGGAGACCAGTCTCCAGCACTGAGTCTCCACCATAATGTTCCTTCCTTCACTCTCTTTCCTGAGGACCCACAAAAAATCACCACACAAGCTACAAACCATCACATGTACCATAGCAGCTGCTTCATAAATGCAGATCTCCATTACATTTTTCTCAAAAATTCTGAGAGACTTTGGGGAATTCAAACTTTCAAAATCATGGCACGTCTCTTAAGTGACAGTCAGCCAACAGCAATCTTACCACAGCCACCAAGAGAGTTTCACTGAGAAGAAAGACAACATTAACTCGAACAGTTCAATATTCTAGACAGGAAAGGAAAGCACAAGAGAGGGAGCAGACATTAAACTCAAGGATACTTATGTGAATGTTGGACAATGAAGAATATAATACCAAGTATTGTCTGCTGGGAGCCAGTTTCTCTTGTTAATGTATAAGTGCCATGTCAAGCTGACAAGTGCCATTCTCAGGACGTAAGTGTTTTGTTCTGCCTGACATGCTTCTCAAAGGTATAATTTCATGGGTCAGAGATGATGGTGGGAGGATGTGTTTATGGCAATGGATCAGATACTTTCAAGAGAACGGTCTGTTTTTAGTGTTTGCAAATGGCTCCAATATCTCTCAACAAGGTTTATGGTGTGTCTCATCCTCTCCTGGGTCTTCATGTCCCTGTACCCTTTCATTTCCTTACAGTCTCACTATTGTTGCGTCTTATTGCAATCACCACTTCATACCTGAAACTGACAAGGTGAGGGGGACCTCCTGATTAATTCCCCTCAGCTCCAAATAGAGGAGCCAGACCCA